GACCCAATTGTAAAAAAGTCGACGGCCTCGCATGGATAAGCACCCCCGCCAGCAAGGGGATGGGAGGGCTTTAGTACGACCAACCCTCTAGCAAACACTGAGTTACGAGCGCCCCCCCCGTCGGGAGCCGTGAGTTTAATCACACTTGGGTCGAATGGTTACTGGATGCTTTCGTTTTGCTGGAAGTTTCTGTAGATTTATATGGATCGGTTTTCGAGTCGAGCACAGTTTATGATCATCGTCACCTCCTCTGCTTAAAGAAAACACATAAAATGATCTTTCTTAGGACCAAAACCAAAAGGAATTTTTTTTAAAACCTGGAGCAGTAATGACTTGAGATTTTGCCCAAAAATTGGTGTGCCCAAACGTTGCCACTGAGTGTCAGCAACAGGCAGCAAGGGAGGGTGTTCCAGATGGAGGCTTATATATAGCAAGGCAGTTTCGGCATATGGATCGCTTCGCATACTTGGGATTTCTTCGAAGATGGACATAACATCTGAAGATTGCGCTCAAACAGTGACACAGTACCTGATTCTCATGTGGACTCTCTGTGGTTATTATCACTTGAAGGGGACCTATAACAATATTGATGTTGTAGATGGCATAAGATTGTACGTCTACGCCTACAGTATTGGCGTTTTCCATCTGTGCTTCTAAGAACACTGGACCACTGCCAGAAAAAAAGCACATTAAAGACATTTTGCATAGCGTTCAGATTTGGCTTAATTGGCGAATTCAGTTAGGTGACATGTACGTTCTTAAGCGTACAGCATGTGGTTTAGAAATACGCAGTGGTCATTTAATTTAAAAGACACGTTTAAAAGGCCTCGAGGTGGCGGAAGCCAAAGTAGCAATACAAATGCATTGCAACAAATCTGTCTATTCAATCCGCTGAAATGTAGACCTTTGGTTGTAATTAAAGGTCTTGCCTAAAAGAGAAGGAATGCTGAATCATAGCTGAAGGAAATATTTAGTACATACGAAGACAAATAGGTTCTTTGGGAAAAGGAATAAACTTAATTTAGTAAATTGTTGACATTGGTTCGCCAGGTCGTCATCAGACTTGAGTGTGCACGCAAAAAGCTAACATTTCAAACGCCTTTAAAATCTATATTCATTTGGTGTGTGCGTCAATTAGCGGGCGCCGTTTGCGTCAGCCTGTAGTGATCGGTTCTTGTGTTTCCAATTTTTCCTTGATATTTTTGTACAGGACGTCAAACTCGGTATGCTCATGGGTGCATGAGTGATCGGACTGCATGGCGTCAAGAAACTCTTGGTGTTTTGGAGGGCAGACTCCGATGATGCGAATAACGCCTCATGAAGTGCCTATTTGGAAACCCAGACTGCAATTCTTATTCTCTGGAAGCAATGGTGATTGAAAGGACCCTTATTTTGCAAGCGAAGGGAAGATTTTCAGTGATTTTCTTCAGGGTGGAGCGATTAGGGGGAATATAAATGCTAAGGGCCACCGAAGCACGGCCAAGTATGTCACAAAGTGAAGTTGACAGTTATATGGCCGAATGGAAGAGTTACAGGGGACACGCCCCGCTTATTGTATTGGCAGCTTGTTCGGCGTATGGGCTGTCGCTTGAAGCCATTTAGGGTTAAAGAATGAATTCACAAATCCCGAAGAAAATCTTAGGAAAGGGGCTTGTTTATTAATTTAGTTAATATGTCAGGTGCGATTTATCTTTCTTTTGTTTGTCCAAAGCTATCAGCTGGCCGTATTAAACAACGGCCATTTCAGAAATTGCTTTGGTTTTATATTTACATGTACGTTTGTAGACCCTTTTAATTGCTTTTTCGGTGCGTCAGACAATTATAAAGCAGTAGGTTTGATATACGCTATGTTAAGAATTTGTACTGAGTATGCGGAGGTATTTTTCACCGTGCCTTTCCAGTTATAGCATAGACTGTCAACTAGCTTGAAACTGTTACCTCAGTTTTCTAACCGAAACACAGGCAAAGATGTGAGCCATGACAGACTTGACGCTAATTGGTTTTGCTGTTCAAGCAAATTTCGCTTTAGCCAATCAGAAAGAAGCAGAGACTGACCTTGTGGAATGCATGCTGGTGGGTAGCCAGTAGGAAATTTGGGGAGCGTTCAGTAGAGCCCAGGCTATAAATGAAGCTGTTCACTGTATCTCACAATTGAACTTCGGCAAAATGCCAGGGGAAACTAGACGAGGCTATGCAGGGCGTGCTTCTCCATCTTCTAAGGTCGACGGCAGTGTAAATATGATCTCCAGTCAGAGTGTCGTCGATCGTGATGACCCCAGTGATTCTCGTGAATTTATGAGTTCTTCTGCTTACAATGACTTCGACAGCGTAAGTACTTACGATGCATGTTAATTAAGCTCAAAAGTCGGTCAACGGCATTTAATTTATTATGCTTCATTTTTATACATTAAAAGTTACGCTGAGTAAAAGTGCTAGTGTGTACTTCTAGCTAAGCAAAGAATAAGATGAGGTCGGAAGCTTTCAGTAGCCAGCTTATTTATTATTTATTAAAACCACTTTAACTTTCTTGTTGTGTTCTAATAAGCTTAATAGATAAGTCATTCGTTTTAGAGGATCTACCGGTGTAGTTCGCTATAAAAGGCTCAAGCAAACTTTGCGAGAAATGCGTATATTATTGGAATTTAGTGAACAATCAATGGTTGGTGTTTACATAGCAGAAGTATCTGTCCATCAATCCAAGGAATGTTCACTAACGTATAGTTGACGAATATCTTTCTCGTGACAGAAATGGACCTCCTTAGATCTACAATAACAGTGGCTTCTCATGGCAGCCTCTGATGTTTTCACTGACCCATTTTCGCAAATATTTGCTTGCTCTTCATAGAAGTTAAGCTTGCGTCACAGAATGCAGTCCTGATTTTAGCAATTTACTCTGAAAATTGATAGTTTTAACATGCAATTACAGCTACTTGCCTATTGATAGTTTAAGTTTGCTGAAGGCTTTACTTGGTTGGATACCAGAATAGGCAAACCTGTATTACAGGTAGCGTTGATCTATATTTCCTAGGAGAGAGAACCTTTTCCTGGAGCCAACTCTAATATATTAGCCGTATTCATCCTCGGTGCAAGTTTTGCGCATGTGGAATCGTCATCGTACTTTCCTCGAACAGTTGTTACCATTTATTTCCGCCATGTTCTCGCCATCCTTAGTCGGGTGTTTTTCCAATTTTAAAGGACATTGGCACCATGAAATCGGTGCCCCTGGACACCCAGGATAAGACCTTCTCCTACTCCGGCGGCCTAATACTTTCCTGCTTGGGCTGCGTTCTTGGCACAGGAAATATTTGGCGGTTTCCCCGGGTCTTGGCGGCGACAAGCTCCGAAGGAGGTAGGAACCAACCTATTTGCGATAATGTTTCATTTATTAAATAAAAGCAACAAGAAGGCTAGATCCTTGTTTATGGTTCATGTTTATTTATATTTATATAGGCAGCCTCACCTTCATTCTCGCGTGGGCTCTTTTCCTATTTACATGGTCAATTCCATTGGTCATTACGGAATACACAATGGGACGGTTTACGAGAGGATCTCCCCTTACTTCTTTCTACAAGTTTCTTGGTAAAAAATGCTTATGGGTCGGAGCTTGGGTGACAGCTGTGGCGTTCTTCATTAGGTAGGGCCGCTTAATTCAGTTTGAGTCTTATATCGCATAGTTTGAAAATGGTCAAAACATCCAACATATTAACCTTCATGTTACTACTTTCTCTTTTAGCGCCTACTTTTCAGTTGTGGTTGGCTGGTGCTTCTATTACTTCTATCTGTCCTGTTCTTTATCGGTGCTGCCAGAAGATCCAAAAGAAAGTGCAGAAATGTTCAATTGGTTTACTGTGAGTGCTCAATTTACAAACCACTATTGAGTCGCCTGTTAATTTTTGTAAATTGCTTCTCTCACCATAATTCTTTGGTAGTGGTTCCAGTCAATGCCCTGTGAAATAGTAAATGGTTAGTAGGATAGGGGTTTTTCAGAGTCTGAAGGAGATTTGAAAAACATAAATCTACTGAAAAGAGACATATTTACTCACTGAAGTAGATTGGCGGACTTAAAGAGTTGTGCAGAAACCTATGCGGACCTGGATTCGCAAATAAATGACGACATGCCTGGCATTATGTTCGTTGGTGATCCGAAAGTACGGAACAAGGGTTGCTGTGTAAATGTTTTGGCGTCAACCGTCGCGTACTTTAAATGTACGCTGACCTTGAATCTTGATAAGTAAGGCATATCGCTTTATTCAAAGGGTAGAGTAAAAAAGAAGTGTGAACTCACGCTTACGTGCCAGTTTCATCAGCAATTCTACAAACTTACTCCACGGTTCTACAGCTGCATACACCTGGAAAACTCCAACGCGTAAGGGTGACTTGTATGACCGCCTAAACAAGGTACCGAAATATAAAGGCCCCATGTAATAAATGCCAGGAAATACGAATATTCCGTGTCTTAATACTAAGCCTAACGACGCTTAAATGTAACCCTAACGGTGACAGTAGCCTTAGACT